AGGTTATGTATATGAAGATATACTATGTTTGTATTAAGGTTATGTATGATGTGTATGTGAAGTACCTAAACAAAAGTCTCATTTTCACCATCGCTTGTAAATAAAATCTCAAAAGTAAAAACTGATTACATAAAATATATTTTACAGCAAATAAAACTAACAATATATTCATTCTTGTTAAAAAAAAAAAGCAGTAAGATTCATGATTAAATTTTATTTTTTGTTAATGTTAATCGACAAATGTCAAACAATAATCTTTATGTTTTTAATGTAAATAAAGTGTTTAATTTGTCATTTAAGACATTTTAGTTTGATCTGCTCAGCAGGAGGCCACCAGATTCTTTTTGGACACGTGAGAAAAAAAATGTTCTTCAAGCATCTGGACTGAATATTACTTTTTAAAATCTCTTTCTGTGCCTCTACTGTTTTATTCACGATCCTTTGAGCAGCGGGTCATTGATCCTGAACGCAGCGTGTGCATTAGTGAGGCTCTGAGTGTCGGTGTGCATGGAAAACTTCCTTCACTCAAGAGCTGCCCAGTGTGAGAATAAAGCTGATCTTCAGCCTGGCCTCAGAACACACACACACACACACACACACACACACCCACACACACACACACACACACACACACACAGAGCGGAGGATCTTTCCTTTCATCTGATGTAAACTCCAAAGGTCTGGAGGAGAAAATCTGCAGGTCTGCTCTGTGATCTGTCTCGTGCAGAGGGAGCGGATCTGAGCAGAAAGACGAGAGAATTCAGAGGATTGAACACTGAGGAGAACAAAGACGAGGAAAACCACTTGGACTCTGAGAAGAGGGTGAGGTAAGAAGAGGAGACCAAAGGAAAGCTCACTGATGGGAAACGTACAAAATACACAAAGTGGATTTCTTCTGTGGCCTCCATGGAGCGTTAAAAGTTACCGTGGGGCTGTGTGGAAGATCATCCTTGTACTTCACATAAACCAGATTTGACTGTGCACTGGTTTCTGTGTGGGGGGAGACACAAGACGCGTCGAGCCTGAGTCTGAAGTAGAATTTAACACGTGGCCGTAGGATGAGGCAGAAAGAAGTTTTACTTGGAGTTTGTGTTTTTCTTCTTCATATTTGGTCGTTTTCTGGCGTTAATTGAGTCTGTTTGTTATCAACATGCACATCTGTTCAATTCAGTTCAGTTTATTTCTAAAGCTCCAAGTCACAACAGAAGTCGTCTCAGGGACTGAACAGGAACATTTATAAATAAAAATAATAATAATTATTATTCCAGAACTCTCATCTTGAACAAGCATGAAGGCGACAGTGGAAAGAAGAACTCCCTCATGAGGAAGAAACCTTTAGCAGAACCAGGATCAGGACAAGA